GTTTATAATACCCAGAAATTCATACACAGATGTTCTCAAGGACACATGACACTGGATAAAGTCGTTAGTTAGATCCAGTGACAGGATCCAAATAGTGTGAGTTTATTACCTGGTTAAGGAGGTTAAAGTTCTCTACATGGCGGCGGAGAACTTCGAGAGAGGGAATTAACATGAGATAACTGATAACTGACATCCATTAGACATGGCACGTGGAACTAGAACAGTCTAACCCAGTGAGCAAAATAAAGGGTTCAGTTCGACAGTCAAACCGCCTGAAGAAGGTCGGAGCGTACAACCACAGATGAGGTTAATAGTCCGAACAATGTAAATAGTGTACATAGTACCTCATCTCAGAAATATAGACAGATTTTTTATCTCGTTCATTATATATACTGTATAAATATATATTTTATATATATATATATATATATATGTGTGTGTGTGTGTGAAAATATGTATATATATATATATATATATATATATATATATATATATATATATATATATATATATATATTATAAATATATATAATATATATATTTGGTTGGATTGATGTGAGTTTGTGACCCTGGGTTTCACGCTTTTGCGATCGTCAGACAAACTGATTAATTTTTTTAAATTTTGGGTTTATGTAGATTGCGTGTATTGGTGTTATTATCGAAGTGGGGGGGAATCGTCTTCGTGATGTCACTCATGCTAACGCAAACATAGATGCATGTCCGTACACCCGTTGAGGTACGCAGACACACATACACATTCGCTCGTCCGCCGGGGCTCATACAGATATAAACATATGTGTGCAGTATTGGATTTGACATATGTATGTATATGTGTGCTGTTGTCTACATACATACGCATTTTTATGTTGAAATTCAAAGATCGGAAGTGTAGCGAAGATTTCTCGTGAATGTATACATGTCAGCAATCAGAGCATTTTTTTTTATTTTTTCGCTAAATAATATTTCACCGCATGCACGTATATAATAATAATAACACCAATACACACAATCTACATAAAACCAAAATTTTAAAAAAAATTATGAGTTTGTCTGATGATCGTAAAAGCATGAAACCCAGGGTCACAAACTCACATCAATCCAACCAAATATATATATATATATATATATATATATATATATATATAATGTTATGAATATTATTAATTAATATATATATATATATATATATATATATATATATATATATATATATATTATATTAATGTGATAAAAAGCAGACAATATAAAAGGATAATAGGAAAGAAAGAGCAGTTGGCAATATGAAAAGAAAGAAAATGAATAGAAAATACAAAAATACTAACCGCTTATCGCTCCTCACTCGCTAGAACTCGATCGAGGAAAGTAAAATATTGCGTATGCAAACTCAGATAAGAAATAATACGGAAGAAAATATAGGGATTATAAAAAGGAAAAACCTTAAAGCAACAACTGGTGGCAATACGAAAAGAAATAAAATGAAGAATAAAAATAAAAATACTAACAGGTTATCGCTCATCACTCGCCAGAATAAGAAATCAAATGGAAGAAAATGTAGAGATTATAAAAAGGTATAACAGGCAAACAACAACAGGTGGTAATACGAAAAGAAATAAAATGAAGAGGAAAAATAAAAATACTAACCGGTTATTTCTCCTCACTCGTAAAAACTCGGTCGAGGAAATTAAAATATTGTGCATAGAAAATACGTTAAGAAATCATACAGAAGTAAAGAAAGAGATTATAAAAGGCAACAAAAAGCAGAACAAAAACGTTTGGCAATAGGGAAATAAAAAAAATGGAGAGAAAAAGCAAAAGCATGTTTTTTCTATTCACTTTCTTTTTTTTGAGGTTTGTCAATTATTTTTTTTTTACGGCTGATCAATTCTTTGTGGCTGATTTAAAACCAAAATATATTTTGGATTGCAAGATTGAATCTTTTTTTTTTTTTTTTTTTTTTTTTTGCGAGTGAATATTTCATCAACAATCTTTTGAGAAAAGCAATGATTTTTCCCGATGCGACTTTTACTATTTAATCCATAAATGGAGGATTTGTGCATAAGTCAATGTAACGAAATCGACTAAAATTCGAACTCGTCTCTACGATTTGTCATTCCGAGGCACTATTCATGACACTACCCGAATCTCTGTGAAGAGCCGGTGGGATATAAACATTATTAAGCTCTGGAGATGCATGCCATGCTATCATGTGCATTATTACGCTCTGGTGATGCATGCTGTGATGTCAGGTTCATTATTATTCTCTGGAGATGCATGCCGTGCTATCATGTGCATTATTAACCTCTGGCGATGCATGCCGTCGATTTATGTTCATTATTACGCTCTGGAGATGCATGCTGTGCTATCATGTCATTATTAACCTCTGGCGATGCATGCCGTCGATTCATATTCATTATTACGCTCTGGAGATGCATGCTGTTTTATCATGTGCATTATTAAACTCTGGCGATGCATGCCGTCGATTCATGTTCATTATTACGCTCTGAGATGCAAATCTGTGCTATCATGCATTATTAACCTCTGGCGATGCATGCCGTCGATTCATGTTCATTATTACGCTCTGGAGATGCATGCTGTGCTATCATGTGCATTATTAACCTCTGGCGATGCATGCCGTCGATTCATGTTCATTATTACGCTCTGGAGATGCATGCTGTGCTATCATGTCATTATGAAGCTCTGGAGATGCACACCGTGCTTTCGTGTTCATTATTGCGCTCTGGAGATGCATGCCGTGCTATCATATTCATTATTCAGCTCTGGAGATGCATGCCGTCGATTCATGTTCATTATTACGCTCTGGAGATGCATGCCGTGCTATCATGTGCATTATTAACCTCTGGCGATGCATGCCGTCGATTCATGTTCATTATTACGCTCTGGAGATGCATGCTGTGCTATCATGTCATTATTAACCTCTGGCGATGCATGCCGTCGATTCATGTTCATTATTACGTTCTGGAGATGCATGCCGTGCTATCATGGTCATTATTATGGTCTGGAGGCACATGCCGTGCTCTCATCTTTATTATTAAGCTCTGTAGATGCATGCTGTGTTATCATGTTCATTATTATGCTCTGGAGATGCATGATGTGATGTCATGATATTACGAGCTGTAAAAACAATTCCTTTCTGTTTATACTGTGTTGTTGATTTCAGTTTCTCAACTACATACTCAAACCTTTTTCACCTTTATTTTCGCTTTATTTCTCTCCATTATGACTTTCCGGATATTTAAAATTATTTTACAGTTTTGTTTTATTAGTTCTTATCTAACGTTCAAAGGTAACAATTCTTTTATATGCAAGAAGTTATATAGAACGGCATATCATTCTTAACAAATATAAAATCTATAGAAGCGGATAACGTATTAGATGTCAGCAAATCTCAGTAAGGAAAACAAACAGGAAAATAAGAAATTATGGTTACTTATCTCTCTGGCGTCAGTGTAAACTGACACTTTCCTTTTCGCATAAATCTAAACTATAATTATAAAAATATAATTTTGGAAAGCGAAAATTTCACTAAAACATGTTGGGAATTTTCAAAGTTTTCATCTGAGATCAAGCAAATGCTAACTTCAAAACAAAACAATAAAAATATATAGAAATAACAGACGTCAGTTTTAAACTGTCGCCTGGAATATTTGACTCGCCCAATTTTTGAGTATGTCTTACATTAGCTCCTATTAAAAACTAATCCAATTTTATGTAAAACAGAATTCATAAAACTAGTATTATTATGCACTTATATGCATAAAGCAATATTTACAGTTATTTATTTAGAATTGGAATCCGTCAATTTCTTGGAACTTCGAAAGAACACGTCGTCTCTTCTTGAATTCGGAACCCCCATAAATTATACTATACAAGTCGAATACACGTGAAATCCGATTAAGCAATAAAAATTTAACACCACAAAAGTAAAAATACTAAAATGTATTTCTTCTTTTTCTCCGTATCTCATTCTCAGGTGAAGTTTTAATAAAAATGAAACATTTTAGATCGATAATCATTTTCTATTTGCTGTTTATCTTATCATAGATAGAATATTTTTTTTCTAAAATTTATTTTCAATATGAGACCGGGAAAAAACCGGAGGCCCCCAAAACAAATGATTCAAAAGATGAAGAAGGATTTCTTCGCGTTGTTTATCTATTTGGTTATTTCCTTCAGTCAGCTTCAAATGCAAATTCTTATTGTATTTTATCTCCCTTTGCGGCTCAGAAAACCCGCCTCTTGGGTCACGTGGGTTCAAAATTCCAAGGAATTCTTGCCCTCTTGGGACCACAACATGAAATTATTCAAAAGAAGAAACTTTTTTTTTTGTTTGTGTTCTGTGTTCCTGTTTGTGTGTTTATGTCAGATTTTATTTCGTTTTATTTTTAGATCTTTTCTTAAAATTTTCCCCGATTTCTTTTTTTTTGCAAAATTTATTTTCTTGATTGCTTTGTTTTCATTTATCTTATTTTTTTTTGTGTGCAGAATTCGTAGTTCGGAGTCTTTATTCTTCAGGAGGATTTATTCACCTTATGATTTATTGCAATGTTACTCTGATTTTTAAAAAAAAAATGTAGTTAGTTTTGGGGGCGAGAATTGTTGTTAAGATTTTGTTTGTTTCGGTTTTTTATTTTGAAGCATGACCGGTGATAAGAATGAGGAACCGGCATTTTGTCGGTTGTAGTGATTTTTTGAAGTGATTTCGAATTCAACCCTCCATTAGATGTTGGGAGATGGAGTTGATCGGGATGAGAAAGAATATCTCAAGAAGTGAGTTAAGGAAACTGAGAGAACAAAAGATAAAAAGGGAAAGTAATATGAAAATCATCACGCAAATTATATAAAAGAAAGGAAAGAGAAGGAAAGATTTAAAAAAAAAATGATGTGACAAGATGGTGAAGAAAGAAAGAAAAAAGAAAGAAACCAGAAGTATGTGAGAAAGATTGGAAGATACAACTGGCCGTACATTGTGCAGAATAAACGGAAAGAAAGAAAGAAAAAGAAAGAAAGAAAGAAAGAAAGAAAGAAAGAAAGAAAGAAAGAATTAATGGCAAGAAGCAAAAGCACGTGAGAAAGAATGGAAGAAAAACACTGACGGTACATTTTTCAGAATAAACAGAAGAAAGAAAGAAAGAAAGAAAGAAAGAAAGAAAGAAAGAAAGAAAGAAAGAGGGAAAGAAACCAGAATCACATGAAAATGAATGGAAGAAAAACACTGACTGTACATTGTACAGAATAAACAGAAGAAAGAAAGAGGGAAAGAAAGAAAGAAAGAAAGAAAGAAAGAAAGAAAGAAAGAAAAATGAAACATGTGTGATGGAAAGAAAAAAAACAGAAGGGAAAAGATAGTTTTATGAAATATACAGAAAGAAAGAAAGAAAGAAAGAAAGAAAGAAAGAAAGAAAGAAAGAAAGAAAGAAACCTACAAAATGAGAAACAAGAAGTAAATTATTAAACAAACGAATTAAATAAACTTAGGATGGTAATAAACAAACTAACATAAAAAGTTAAATGGCAGAAGAAGACTGAACAGGAATGAGGTGAAATACACGAAGGAAAGAAATAATCAAATCTGAAAAAAGCAGGAGAAAAAAAAGAAAAGAACAAAATTCTTAAAAAAAGAAAGAAAGAACAAAAAAAAGCCAGCCGTCAAATAAATAAATAAAATTACAAAGAAGAAGCAAAACATGTAAAGTATCCACATTGAGAAGTATCCACATTGAGAAGTTGTAAACGAAAGGAACGATAAATCGTAAAAAAAACGGGAACAATAATGCATAAGAAAACAAAAACTTACGTGGAAAATAAAAATAATGCCTGAAAAAAAAAAAAACGATGACAATTCATCTTTTTGAAGGAAAATAAAGTAGATGCCAGGCAGTTCGTTCCAGAAGATAAAAATTTTTAGTTAATAATTCATCGCAGCAAAGTACAATCAAAAGTCAAAACATTCGAAATCCTCATCTAATCTGCCATTTGTTTCACCTTTTTTTTTCATTTTCAAAACTCTCTTTAACGAAGCAATCGAGTTAGAAAAATTTGATTTGTTTGCTAATTCGATTACTTCTATTCTTTAGGTAAAAATTTCATTCACCTTTCTTCGATCATTTGATATGATGTTTATTGTTTTCGTTTATGCGCCGTGTCCTTTCTGGACGTGAGAAAAGTGTTGGATGAATCTGATGGTGATTACGAAGATGTTTTAAGTGACCATTAGTGATGGCGTCCCACAGGGCCTCACACTCAATACGGAGGCCTATATCAAGTCCCTTGAGGAGGTAGTGCTGTCCTGTTCAAGAGGATGACTGCTGGAAGACGTTATGTCTGGCAACAGGACTCTGCATCATACCACATAAACAGGAGAATCCAGTCATGGCTGTCAGACAATTTCTGCGATCACATCATTCCTTTTCATATGGTCACCCAACTCCACAGACAGTAACTCACTTGATTACTTTGTGTGAGGCGTAATTGAGCGAGAGACCAACAAAACGCCTTGTAAGACCAAAGATGAACTGAAGGCAAGGATTATCGTAGCACTCACCAACTTAAACAAGGAGATTGTCTAGAAGAGTTGCAGGAGATTTCCAAGTCGTCTTGAGGCCGTGGTTGAAGCCAATGGCGATTTTATTGATTAAATTTACTCTTTAATATTTCAAGATATTTTTATGTCATTTAAATGTCTGTTAAAATGAGATTTATTTATTTTCAAGTTTGCGGAATTTAGACGACAATTCATCCATCGCATTCTGAGAATGGCTATTTTCTGAAATAAATTCCCAGGGGATTCTTACCCGATCACTATAATCTTAATGTCTTCAATCTATTCTGTCGGGTGCAGTTGTGTCGGGTGCAGTTGTGGGAGAGTTCAACAAAACCCCTGAAGGCAAGGATTATGGCAGCATTCACCAACTGAAACAAGAAGCCAGTTCATAAGAGTTGCAGGAGATTCCGAAGTCGTGTGGTTGAATCTTTTATTGAATAAATTTACTCCTTAGTATTTCAAGATATTTTTGTGTCATTTTCGTAAATATATCTGTTAAAATGAGATGGCAGTGTTATTTTCATTTTTGCGTAATTTCGACAACAGTTTATCCATCGCATCCTGTATATTCCTTTCTTCTACCAGCTGAGACCTATGGATCTAAGACTAGACATGACATGTTTGCAGGGTCGATTTATCTTTATTTCATACACTACTTCCAGAGAACGGTTATTTTGTGAAATAAATTCCAAAGGGGATGAATACCAAATCACTGCAAATTAATTTCTTTAGTCTAGGGTCAGCTCTTATCTGTTCTACATATTCACATTATCTGCACTTCTTACTTATTCCGCTTGCGTTCATTCAGTAATAATCTATCTTGAGTTGTTCTTGGGCCTTTTATTGGGTGAATAATAGTATAAGACAACACACCTGACTTCAATAATGGAATTTACGCTCATTTGCATTCTGCACCAGCTATATCAACAAAATGATATTGAGACAAATATGGGATTGCTAATGAGATTTTAAACCTTCAAATTACATCCAAGGCAGCCAGTCTGATATCTGATATCGGATATGGCATAATATTACTGTCCTTCTATCAGTTATGTAAGCACATACAATATAATTATGTGGTCGCAGAAAATGTCTGACAGCCATGACTGGGTTATTCTGCTTGTGTGGCATAGTGCAAAGTCTTGTTGCCAGACATATATTCTTCCAACAGTCATCCTCTTGAACCAGGGCAGTACTCTTTCCTCAAGTCACGTGGTTAAGGCCTCCGTGTAAAGAAAGCCCTGTATCGACAATTAATGGTGGGATAATGTCGCCTTCACTAATGATCACTCTTTGGTAATCGCCATTAGATTCATTCAACTCTTTCCGAATCCTCTGTACTGTCCTCAGATTGACACCTAAACACTGAAATGTTCGTATTAGAGATTCCGGCGCAAGTCGTTTCCAAATTTTTGGCGGAGTTAATTGCGTCATGGTACACTTTTTCTCAGAGACGGTGCTCAACTGACACTGCTATACTGTGCAGACGACAAAATAAAAAACAACAACGCGCATTTGCTATGTAAATAGCAATAGAGTAACGAGTGGCTTGCGCTGTTTCGTGTCTGAGGACATTTATAGAATCAGAGATGCTTTTAAAATATGTCATGCCTGTAAAGTGAGAATTGGGCGACTCCCTGCCCAAATATAGCAACCATACTTTATTCTTGGTTTGATTTGACTTTTATAAATGTAGAACTTAGAAAAAGGGTGTATTTCTGTGGAAGTACAAGGAAGTAACAATTTTTCCAGCAGCTTTCGTAATGTTATTTTGAATGGGTGATTTTGTTTAGCGGCATAGCAATACTTCTATGGGTTATTTAATGCCGAAATCTAAATATTTTGTACACAATATTATGCCTTCAATTTTTGATAAAAAGCACTGGTCATTTTGCTATAAAAAGTAATGTCATTTTGAATGGGTGATTTTGTTTAGCGGCATAGCAACACTTCTATGGGTTATTTAATGCCGAAATCTAAATATTTTGTACGCAATGTTATGCCTTCAACTACAGTCCATAATTTTATACTAACAAAGCAATTGATTTTTTTTTCAGATATATAGTTTATAGATGATAAAATGTATCGTTGGTATATTTTAAAAATGTATTACTGTTGATTTTACTATCAAAATTTGTAATTGTGCATTTTAGTGTTGCATTGATTTTCATTTTGCAACAAAAATGTATTGGTTGTCATTTTGCTATAAAAATGTATTAATTGTCATTTTGCTATAAAAATGTGTTAATGGTCTTTGCAAAAAATGCATTGTTGGTATTTTTATTATAAAAAAAAAATTGATTTTGTCTGGAGGTTCTCTATTTTCTCACAGCTGGGACCTTAACTGGCGCTACCACCTCGGGGCAGGTTGAACCTGCGAACAACAGCAATTAACTTCACGCTCTTCAGCACCTCCAATCTCTCAATCAGAGTTCTTGTTGCTGTATGTAATATATCGTCATATTCAGGACTAAGCATTTCGGAAAACAGAAAATGTAAAAGAAAAAAAAGCCGAAATATTTTCAAAAGGCAGCGATAAACAACTCAAATAACCAGGTGAAAAATATTAAACGATGGATAAGTAATGTCCAGGTAGTGTAATGGTTAACGAGGTGGAAATAATATCGGCGAACCGAGTTCAGGCCTAGTTTGCTACATTCACTTTCTCACAAATAAAATTTAAAAAGACACGAATTCATTTCCATCACCCTCACCCAAGAGCTTAGACGGGGTTTTCTACCCTCGAAGTATAGAGGAAAGTTTACTCTGTATTCAAAGCCGTGTAGAAAGCAACGGAAAACCACTCTGCTCTTCGCACAAATACTAACAGGAAACGTTTCCTCTTCAAAAGTTAAGCAACGTAGAATCTGGTCAGGATCTAGATGAATGACCGCTCGGGAATACCAGCTTGAATATTCGGAATGAGAAATCGGAGAAGTCG